AGCCCCAGCCCAGACCCGCAGGGTCCAGCACCGGCCACAGAGACCTGTGTCACCTCAGGGCTGGCCCGTGCCCTGCTCCCTGCCTGTCACCATGGGCGGTGCTCAGAACAAGGCTCAGTCCAGGATAAGTTCAGGCATGGCTTTCTGACCCATGGCTTTTGGGGTACAGAACCACTTTCTGGGTGGCAAAGTCCAAGAGCTTGGGCTGAGCCTCCCCAGCAGAATGGAGTCACTAAGCCATGCCAGGTGGGCTTATCTCAATCACCTGCCCCATTGGTGTGTCAGTTCTTGTGGGCTTCTGGATGACCACGTGGCATGGACACACCTTTGTTTTGGGCTCACCACCTGAGTGACCCAGGACAAACCCATCCTCCTGGGGCTCGGTTTCCCTGCCTGCTCTCTGTGAGGGTGAGGGGAGTGGGAGTCCAGCAAAGGTATGAGGCTGTCTGGCCTCCCACAAGTTTTGTTGAATGACTAAACAACAGAGCAAGAGAGTGGATGAAGGCAAGGAGGGGAGGAAGGCACAGAGGCCCTCCTTAGTGAGCTCTGGTGGGGGCTCTGAGCATCACGCCAGGCTGGCCCTTTTCTGCCCTCGGCCTTTCCAACTGGCAAATGGAGCAAATCTCATGCCTTATGGATGAGCCCCAGCAGCCCAGAGAGGAGGCCTGGCAACCGTAAGACTGGGCACTGAGCCTGAGGTGGCCCAGCACGAGCCCCTTTACTGTGGGCACAGAATGTTTCTGTGATGCCTGCCCTGCCCTCCACCCCAGCTGGCAGCCATGGCCACACCTAGGCCTGCCTTTCTCACCCCACTGGGCACTCATGGATGCCCCTCCCCGACCCGGTTTTGACCGTCTGCTAGGCTCCTGGTGTGAACAGCGGCTCCCAATTTAGCCGTCACTGCCGGGTGGGTGGCTCAGGAAGGAGCTGCATTCCCTGCAGGGCTGGGGGAGGGGCACGAACCAAGTGATGACGCCTTGGGGCCCGGCCTGGGGACCCTGCCTTCCTGATTTCTGCTTCTGCACCAGACTTTTGGCCCTCAGGCGGTGAAGTGTCCCACCCACCCCTGGCCCTGGTCCACGCGGTGCCCAGACAGAGGCCACCAACCTGGAAACACCCACTGGGAGATGACCCTGAGCCCACGTTCCCAGTGACCAGTAGGGCCCCCAGGGTCTCACCCTTCCTCTGAGAGCTGGGAGAAGGGGCAGATCTTGCCTTGGGAGCCAGGCGCCAGGCTGCATGTCCCACTCAGCCTGAGTCTATTCCCTTCTCCAGGCTCGTGCTTCCATCTCGGAGGCCAGCCACAGGGGCTCCGGCCCGGTGGGGGGGGGGTGCAGTGAGAGCGACCACCATGCAACGCACAGGTCCCGTGAGCACACCCCACTGGCGATCCCCAACAGCCCCCTGGAGGAGGAGGTGTGAGTGCCCGGGGATGGTGCCTAGCACAGCGGAATCCAGGAGGCCACTCTACAGGAGGTGGCCCCTGTTTGGTGAGGAGGTTGGAGGTATTTGGAGATGGGCAGGCGTAGCAGGATTCCTGGGGATACTGTCAGGGGCTGGGCTCTCGACCCCTTCCCTGAGCTGGCCCCAGTTGCCACTGTATGTGTCTCTGATGAATAAGAGGTGAGGAAGCAGGTCAATCATGGCTTAATATGCATGGAAGTTGGTCAGAGAGACTCCTAGAGTGTGTGGGGCTGATGACAAAAGGCCAAGACACCCTCTCTGGCCTAGGGCTGGGGATGATGGGGGGCTTCTGGAGGAAACAGTGGCGGTGGGCAGACATGGTCCTGGGAGGAGCTGCTGGGATATGGGTCTACCTAAACCCTCTTGACCTCCATTTGTCTGTCTTTAAAATGGGTAGTGATGGTGGTGTCTACACCACAAGACAGAGTGAAACAATGTGCTTAGCAGGTCTGGAACAGAGTCCTCTCGGGCTTTGGGCAGGCAGCCACCCTCCATGGTGAAAGCAGATGGCAGGCTGGCGCCCCCCAGCTCCCTGGCACTGGGACCACATTCCCCGCCCACTCAGAGTGCCGAGTAGGGTCACATTGGAGCCACACTCCAGCAGCAGGCGCTGCATGACTTTGAGCTTCCTTCCAGGCCTCTCCTTGCACTGTCCTGGGGTGGCCCAGAACGTGGGCAGCAGACACCATGTCCCCTGCTTCTCTACCCCTCCCTGGGAGGGTGTAAAGGACTGGATGTCCGAGGATATCCCACCAGGTTGCCTGAGGAAAGCCATGGAAACAAGCCCCTGGGAATCCGGGGGAGAAGCAACCTTCTAAGGAGATTGAACATGTCCCATTAGGCCAGTACCAGACACAGTCACATCCCTTCATCCAAGATGGATTCTATAAGAGGACTGGAGGTTTGAGTGAAAATCCCACATTGCCCTGTTAGGGCCCACGTGGCCCGCTCAGAGGACAGGAGGTGGACAAAGGAGAGATGGTGACTGACTGATCCATCCCAGGAGCATTAGTGTCTGCCTGCACTGAGCTCAGAGGCCAAGGGACTGGGCAGAGGTCACACAGCTGGCAGGTCCTCTCATGCCTGACAGGCTGATAGTGGAGGCCGGTCTCCAGGACTGGGAGGAAAGGCAGCCCTGTGGCAGTATCGAACTTCTCTGGAGGGGGTGTGGTGGGCTGCATGGGCTGGCAGAAGGCCATAGCCTGTGTGTGCTGCATCTGGGGGAGGCGATTTCGGCAGAAGGCCTGCCCACCAGGGGGTGACGGGTCTGTTTGGTCTCAAGGGCAGAGCTCTCTGCAGTCTCCAGACCACGCCCAGCCCTGATCCCGAGGGCCATCATCCAGAAGGCCCAGGGCACACAGATCAGTGTGGCCCAAATGACCTGTCATCTCTACCCCTCTGTTGGGCCCTCTGGGAACTGACTGGTACAGGCTGTGTTAAAGGCGGACTGTGCAGCCAGGCTCTTCCCACAGCGTCTCTGGCTCCTCCTATGGGGGTTGGCCCATAGGGCTGGCTGTGCCCTTTGATCAGAGGCCGAAGCCCCTGCCAAGCCCTCACCATTGGCCCCTCATCAGCTGTCATCTGTCCTTCCTTGGGCCCTGGCGGATGATGGCTCAGCAGCTGCCTCTTGGGAACTGCGGTCATTCATGGTGTCCCACACCTGCCCACACCCTGAGAAATGTGCTTTCCAAAGCCCTCCCCAGGTCTCCAGCCTGAGGAGCAAACTGTATCCTGCTGGAAGCAGACTGACCCACCCCCTGGCCCTGCTCAGCCCCTACGATGACCCCCCTCGGCGCTGGCCCACAGACCGGGCTTCCAAAGAGGAGGGTGCTGGCCAAGGTGCTGATGGGGAGCACGGGAAGCCTGTCCCACAGCCCACAGTGGTCTGCCTGCAGGCCTCAAACCCACACCCACCACACAGACCTGTGGGGAGGTGGGCGGCCCAGGCCCTGCCCAGAACAGTCAGGAACAGGAGGCTTGATGGCTGGCGGAGAGGGTGCCAGGGCCAGAAACTGCTATGCTGTGACACCGGCTCCCCATTCCTTCCCAGGTGCACCTGTGCCCCAGAATGACTGCCTGCAGGAGCCCCAGGAAGAGGGTGTTGACCCTACAGGGAGGGAGGGCCACAAACTTCAGCAGTGGTGGGCCAGCCTGATGTCCTGAATCATTACAGCCACCCAGGAGCATGGGACCTCAGTCCACACTAGCCCTGACCTCAGACCGGTGGCCAGCACCACATGACTCGTCACCTGGTCTAGAGAGGCCCTGTGGGGAGAATTCTCCCTGATCTGGGAGCTGCTGCCGGCAAGACACCCTGGAGGGAGGTGCTGGTGGCTTAGGGCACAAGCCTCAGCCTCCTGCTGGCTCTGTGGGCTCGGCCTCAGACTCCCCACCTATATGATGGGGGTGCAACCCGCACATGTTCCTGTGGGGAGGACTCACTGGGAGCACTCAGCAGCCAGCACTCACCCAGCGGGCAGTGGTGGATGCACAGCTGGACTAGGAGCCGGGATGGGTCTGCGTTCCACCTCACCCCCAGTGTGCCTGGAAGTTGAACGCACTCCACAAGGCTGGGATGAGGGCAAAAGGTGTGTTCAGGGTCACAGTGCAGCATCCAGAGTGGTCTGCACAGTGTGGCGTGCACACCAGGTCAAAGGACCAGCCCAGCAGGGGCACAGCCATCGGTCCCCACCCCAGGAGGCTGTCTGTGACTCTGTGTGCAGCTGGGAGCACTAGACTCAGAGAGGTGGCCTGCTTTTCCTGGGCAAGGGTGGCAGCTATGCTCTGCTGATGCCTTTCATTGCCACCTCTGCAGTCAGGAGGCTTGGTCCTGTCGGAGGTAACGCTCCGGCCACAGGGAGGGGTCCAGAGCCTGCCCTGGGCACAGCTCTTGCAGACTGGAACCAGCTCCACTAGCCAGTCCCCCATCTATGTGGTCCTCTTACTGCAGGGTGGGCTCGAAGGGGCCCAGGCCCGGCTCGTGGGCTCCCAGAACTCCTCCATGTGTGGGGACACTGGCAGGAGGGTATCCAGGATTTTGTAAGGCGAGGAAGGGAGTCGCCATGTAGAGGCGCGGCGCCATCCGCAGGCCCAGGGCGAGGACCCTGCCGCGGGCCGGCTGGCAGCCTCGGGGACCCCCACCGCCTGGCCAGCCCGCGCCGCCATCCCCGCGGCTGCCTGCAGGGGCCGCCGCCTCTTCAGAAATGCGCCGCCTTTGTCTGGGGCCGCGCGGCGCGGGTGCACCGGGCGGGCTGAGCGCCTCCTGCCGCCCGGCCCCCGGCCCGCGCCCAGGTGAGCGCCCCGCCCGCCGCGAGGCCCCGCCCCGGCCCGCCTCCGCCCCGCCCCGGCCCGGCCCGGCCCGGCGGGGGGACCGGGCGGCTTCCGTGCGCGTCAAACCACATGATCCCATAAAACATTCATCCGCTCCCGGCCCGCGCCGCCAGCGCCCCGCCAGCGCCCCGCCAGTCCGCGCCGCCGCCGCGCCCTCGCCCTCCGCGCCCGCGGCCCCGCCAGCACAGCGGCCGGGCGGCCGGAGCGCGCGCAGCCTCGTCCCGCGGCCGGGCCGGGGCCGGGCCGGAGCGGCGGCGCCTGGATGCGGACCCGGCCGCGGGGAGACGGGCGCCGGCCCCAGAGCGACTTTCGGTCCCCGACGCGCCCCGCCCGACCCCTAAGATGAAGAGGGCGTCCGCCGGAGGTGAGTGCCGCGCGGCGCCCGGGCCGGGCCGGCGGGGGGTGCGGCCGGCCGGCGCCGCCCCCGCCCCGAGCCTCAGGGCCGCCCGGGGCTGCCGAAGCTGGGGGGAGGTCACCGCGCGGCCGTGGGGGCCACCGCAGTGCCGCGCCGGGCCGGGGCCGCGGGCATCCCGGCCCCGGGAGGGCGGAGCCCGTGGCAGCAGGAAAAGTTGCCGCCTGCCGGGAAAGTTGGCGGCCGCGGCGGGCCCGAGGGTGGCGGGTCGGGGTGGCCCCCGACGCCAGGCCGGAGCGGGGTGGGGTCTGCGGGCTGGAAAGGCGGGGTCCGCCCTCGGAGCGCCCCGGCCGCGAAGGGGTTAATGGGCATGTTTGCAAAAACCTGGGTACGGGGCAGAGGTGGGGGGATCGAGCTGCCTCCACCCTTGCCCCGCGGACTCAGCTCAGGGCCTTATCTTTCTCTGGGGTCAGGCCTCGGCGGGAATGAATGGGGGCGTTGGTGACAGTAAAGGGCGTGGGGGGCGGGGCACACCCAGCGTTGTTCCCCCAAGGGAGGACAATGAGAGAAGGCAGCCTAGCACCCCTATCCTGAGCCTGAGGGCCCCTGCGGCTCCAATGATGGGGTGAGAGAGGTGGTGGGGCTCGCTGCACCCCTCCCTGGCGGCCCTCAAGGGACCCTTCCCCCTACCTGGTGTGAGGTCCGGAGAGTGGGGGCTGGGAGGTGACCTCCCCTAGGGAGAGCTGAGCATGCCCTGCCTGGCCGGGGGCTCCATTGGTACCCACCGGGCTGCCCTGCTGATGTCCGCTGTGCCGCAGGCTGCACACACGTTCCCTTGCACGTGCACGTGTCTATAAGGGCTGCACACTTGCATACCGCGTGTGCACACACTTGCCAGACTACCCTAGTGTGCACATGCACACATGCTGTGGGTGCACAGCCGTGTCCTTGCCCCCGCCTGCACGCCCACAGCCACACACACACGCACATAGCATTCCTGCTGTGGTCTGCACACTTGGCGCATGCTGGGGCCCCTCATTGGGACCCACTCCTGTGCCTACATGCACATGTGTTGAGGGGGAAGCTCTGGGCAGCCAGAGCTCACAGACAGAGGGGCGAGACACAGGCTGTAGGAGCATGACCCTGTCTCTCACTGCCTACCCCCATGTCCTGGGAGTCTCCTTTTCAGCGCCTTGTGTGTGTGTGTGTGTGTGTTTGTGTGTGTAACTCAGTATGCGCCTGCACATGTGTGTCTGTGCCCAAGACCGTATGGACCTGCGGGTACATCGGCATGTGTCTCTGCCTCTGGGTGTGTGTGCCCCTTGTGCCCAGGTCAGCTTGGTGGGTTTTGCCCAGATCTGTAGTAGAAGCCCTGGGGTTGAGCGTTGGGGGCTGGCTCAGTGCACCCAGCCCAGAGTGTGAGGCGAAAGAGCTCCTAGCCACTCCTGCCCTGCCCCTTTTGGGGCAGTGGTGGCATGGGGGCTGGCACTCACCTGGGCAGGGAAGACCCATTCCAAACCTTGAGGTCAACACTGACAAGCAGGCCAGACCCTGGCACGCTTGGCAGTCCCTGCTGCTCAGCCCAGCAGAGGGCAGGGATGTGCCCCTCAGGCTGACCCAGGGTGACCTCAGGAAGGCCCTGCCACTGGGAGCTTTCTTGGTGAGGGGTTCTGTGGCATGTCACTTGCCTCAGGTGTTGTGTGGGTGCTACAGTAAGGGTGTTGGTGACCTGCCATCAAGGTGGTGAGGGGGACCCACTGCCGGGGCTCGGAGAGGCAGGGCCACACTGCCTGGTCCCTGAGCCACCATCAGTGCCCTTGTCTGTAGAATGGGGACAAGCAGGTCATCCTTGTAGCATGTGAAGGGGTGAAACAGAAGGGCGGGATGGAGGTTGGGCCCCTGGCAGGGCAGGCAGTGGTCTAGCCACTCACCTTTCTGAAGACTTCAGTCTTTCCATCTGTAAATCAGGTGCTGTCCCCCTCCCGCTCTAGTTTAGGTGAGGAAGAAAGAAGTTTCTGTGCCGGGGGCCCAGCCAGGTGACGGTCAGTGCCCAGCTCTGCCTGCCAGAGGGCCAGTCAGGCCCTGGATGCTGGGTGTGGGACAGAACTACAGTCTGGAATTGGGGCCCAGCTCAGCCACCCACCAGGGGTATGACCTTGGGCATGACAGCTTACCCGCTGTGCCTCAGTGTCCTTGCCTGTGACACGGGCTAGTCGTCAGGCTGACCCCAAGGGTTTTTGGGGACATTTCAAGACTGAGCCCCCCATGGAGCTCTGACCCCAGTGCTTCTGCCTTCAAAATACCCAAAACACCATGACGCCACCCCTGTCAGTAGTTCCCACACAAGACAGTCCTTCTGGAACCTTCGCACTGCCAACCAGACCCCTCTTAACTGATCTGCAGATGGGGCAGTGGAGGCCACCGAGGTCACAGGCGAGTTGGCACGGGCTGATGGGCAGGCGGGGGCAAGGGAGGACAGGGAGCGCTGGGGGGAGGCGGGAGGTGGCACCTGACCTGTTTCCCGAGCTGGGCTGCATCTCTGCCCTCACTTGCCTTACCTGCCTGGCGCCTGCAGAAACCCTGAGCCTCGTTTCCCTATGTGCGGACCAACAGCCAGCCCGGGCTCCTGCCTTCGCGACTGGCCCTCTTCCTGTGGCCATGATGAGAAGTTGGGGAGAGGGCTGAGTGAGGGGAGCTTGGCTCAGTGGGTCTCAGCGACCAGCAGGGCAGCGTGTGGCGGGTCTGAGAAGCACCCTGTAGACGTGCGGGGCTCTGGGGGCCGGGCAGGGAGTGTGGCTGCCGTCAGAGGCTGAGGCCGGCCCCAGGCCTGTGGTTTTGTTGCTGGCCCTGGCCAGTGACAGATGGTGAGGCCTGTGCCTCCCTCGCGCTCCCTGGACTCAGACCTCAGCCCCTCTGCTGGCCCAGGGCAGGGGGACAGAAACTCACCACGCTCCTCGCCCCCTGGCCCCGCCTGACTCGGGGCTTTGTGGTGGATGCCTGCGGCCTCTGGCGCAGCTCCAAGAGGGCCCTGCTTGTGGAGGCAGCCCGAGCCCACCCCAGGCCCACCCTGCCTGCCCTCCAGGGCCGGGGCTTGGAAGGGGGCAGGAGACTGAAAGAGGTGCAGGGAGCTCTGTGGCGCATGAGAGAGTGAGTATGTGAGGAAGGAGTGTGCTGGTGACTGTGGAAGGAGGGCGGGTGTGACCGAGTGTGCGTGTGTGAGACACCCCTGCCCTGGGCTCTGGCGTGGGTTCCTGAGGTCTCAGCTGTGGCTGGTCAGTGACGTTCATGCTTCCCCACCCCCAGTTTGTTGGGCCCTGACCTCTGACCCCCCACCAGGGCTGCTGGACCCTCTGTGGTCATCCAGGGCCTGGCCTTGAGGTCCACAGGAGCCACCTGGCTACCCTCTTTCCTTGCCAGCCAGCCTGCCCACCACATGCTCTCTTGGGGCCTGGCCTCTGCACCCCATTGCCCCCCGCCCTGTGGCCTGGCTGCCCAGTCCCAGATCTGCCTTTGCTCATGATACTCCATTTGCTGAGACCCGGTAGTTCACTCATGCATTCATTTCTGACTTGTCGGACCCTGCAAATAAAGGGATGTGATTCTTGTGCTCCTGAGTCTACAGAACTGAATGCTTTAAAGGACAGGTGGTCACAGAGCTGAGAACAGAAGCCCAGCCAGAGGGTGGCTCGCCGTCCACACCCCTGCATCACCCTGCACCATCACCGGAGCGTGTGTGCCCAGCCCGTGTTGAAGTCCTTTTGTCACTGTGTTTTAAACATTTTGCACGTCGGGAACTATTCTTGTGCATCATGAGTTTTCTGGTGTGTATGGAATCCCTTCCTGAGGATGCACCATAATTATTTATCCAAACCTGGCTTGGCCTCGCACACTGCCCGTCATTGCGTAGCTGGACTCTGGGAGATGCTCCCCACCAGCCACTGCGTGTCCTCAGTGCTGGCCCTGCCGGGTGCCCACCCCCTCCGCCAGGGTGGGGCCATGTGCCGCCTTCTCTGCCCTGGCGGAGGACCTGACTCCACCCCACCCCGCTTTAGGGGCGGCTCAGGGCCCCTCCCACACCGGGGTCGACTTTCAGGTGTTTGTCCAGATTCCGCCCCCAGGTCACCATCCACTCTGAGGATCGTCCTGGTGCAGTCTGTGCTTCTGGACCGTCCTGCCCTGCCTGCTTCACGCGGCCTCTGCCCCAGACCCACAGCTCACCCTGACAGCCCCATCTCTGCAGTGGTCCGCTTTGCACTGCTGCTTGGGGAAGATGAAGGATAGGCCCTGGGGCAGAGTCCTGCAGCCCTGCCCCCATCCAGGACGTGGTGGCCAGGACCTGGAGGCGGAGCTGCGTGGGCAGAGACCAGGGTCCTGGGTTGGCCCAGGGGGGCTTGGCAGGTGGTGAGCCCCATCTAGACTCTTGCACGAGGAGCTAGGCTGATGGTGACCTGGGGACCCTGGTGGAGGGGCCAGGTGTCAGGAGCTGCCCCAGCTTTGTTGAGGCAGACCACCCAGTACCCTGGTGGGGTCTCCTCCACTCTCCCGTCAGCTCCGAGGCCCTCCTAACCGGCTGTCACAGATCACAGTCCATGGAATTGAAGTGCTACAGAATTTTGGTGGGAATTGAGCAAGGGGTTCACGGTCAAGCGAGACTGGGACCAGCCGGGTTAAGTGGTGCTAATGGAGCTCCTTGTCTGTGTCTCAGGGTCTCGGGTTTATGAGCAGCAGGGTGGGCAGGGCCACTGACAGGCACCCCTAGGTGACATGCTTCAGGGCCCGGTGTCCCCAGGAACATGTTTCTGAAAACAGTGGCTGAGGTCCCCTGGAGAGCCTGGGAGGGAGACCTGTGGGTCCCCAGTAAGGGCCGCAGGGACTGGTGGGCCATCCCACACAAACCCCACAGCGGTGGCACCGGGTAGGTGGACAGACCATGCTTTTCCTGGCAGTGTGAGGCAATGTGCAAATCTAACCTTTGGGTTTATGACTCTATTTCTTTGCAGCAAATGCCACGG